ATCCTCCCCCCGGACGCGTCTCAGCATCTTCGCCTAAAGTTATGGAAAGGGCGGGCGCCGGGACCCCGGGCTCAGGACGTATGAGTTCCCGAATAGCATTCATTTCGGGGCAACTTCCAAAGTCGCTCGTGGTCGTGGGGGGAAGTCAGTGAGCCAAGCGCCTTCTGAGCAGACTCGCGTGGGTTAGGTTTTCCCAGATGAACAGAAAGTAAACGAGGAGGTGCTCGCGGTCTCTGGCTGAGCTAGTTGGTTGCAGGGACAGTTGGCTACACTCCCCAGGTGACCCCAGAAGAGCAGCCCCGCGCAGGGTGGCTGTGCTCCCGCGTCGGGGAAAGCCACCGCCTGAGCTGGGAGGCGCGAACGGGGGTGGGGGGTGGGGAGAGCGCCCCCAAAGCAGTGCCTGGGAAGCCAAGGGGGACGGCGTCCTCCCCAGGACCCCTGAGCGTCCCCCCTCCCCCAGCAGGCTGAGACCGGCCTATGAGTCGCGGTGGATTCCTTTATTTCCCAGGATTTCAAAGCCCTCCACCCGCTTTAACTTGGGGAGGCTTTTCCATTCATTCTAGTCATGCAAACCAGCTGTGGCTGAGAGTCTTTATTCACCAAAGCCCCTCCTCGCTGGGGCTCGGGCTCGGGGTGAGCTCCCCGTCTTTGGCGCTGGCGGGAAGCTTTCTGGATTAAAGAAGTGGGATGAGTCCTTTTTGGTGGGAGCCATTGTGAAAAAATAAAAATAAATAAAAAATCAAAGGTGAGATTCACCGTAACAGAGTTCAGTTGATAACGTCTTGGCCAGATCTTGACATGGACAGGTCAGACTTGATCTGCACCCCATCTTCCACCTCCACCCCCCTCCCTACCAGCCAAGGAAACACCTGTCTTAGCTTTAACAAGTGACTTAGCAAATAGGGAGCAAGAGCTATGTAGCCAGTTGCAGGGTCTTCCCTTTCTAACTGATACCCCAGAGGTTCCTTGGAGAAGTGATGAACGGCCAGTTCAAAACCAGATGTAGACCCCTCTTCCTGTCTCATCCCTTTCACATAAAACCGCCTCGAAAGGAAATGTGACCTGGCGAAGGTTTTCTTTGGTTTAATGCCAGCAATTTCTGCAGGACGGTTTCCGTTGTGGTTCGTGTTAATGGTGTGCTGTCGAGGATTTGGGGGGAATGGCACTGCCACTTGTGACGTTTGGGTTCCGCTTTTAGCAGGTCAGTGTCTTCATTCAAAGGGGCAGCTGGGAGGTGGGATTTGAAGTGTGAAAGAGGGTAGGTATCATGCTGCCTTGGAAAATTAACATGAGCATGTTCCGTAGTTGAAGGAGTTAAAACATCAAACATTAAACAATCATTGTATAAGGCTAGGCCAGTGGTCGGCAAACTCATTAGTCAACAGAGCCAAATATCAACAGTACAACGATTGAAATTTCTTTTGAGAGCCAAATTTTTTAAACTTCAACTATATAGGTAGGTACATTGTTATTAACTTAATTAGGGTACTCCTAAGGCTTAGGAAGAGCCACACTCAAGGGGCCAAAGAGCCACATGTGGCTCTCGAGCCGCAGTTTGCCGACCAGGGGCTAGGTCATCAGCCTTTTATCCATAGAAGGACTGTCTCTTCCTTTTTTCTTTTCTTTTTTCTCTTTTACACTGGGGGTCATCAGCCTTTTATCCATAGAAGGCCTGTCTCTTCTTTTTTTTTTTCTCTTTTACACTGGGGGGGGGCCTGCCCCAGCCACCTACCTATGAGCCCACCTGCCCTGGGCTCTCCGGGTGGCTTGTGTATTTATTCTTCCCAGTTTAGAATCCCACCCTCTAACACCAGCAACTCTGCGTGAGGGATTGCCGAGGAGGAAAGGACTCTTAGAGTCAGTCCAATGTGCCAACACCCTTTGCCAGATCCCCCCTCTCCTGAAACTCAGACCATAGCTCATGTTCAGCCGCCTGTCCGGGGACTGGTAGTGGAGAATGGGATTGAACAGTCTTCTCAGAGTTGTTGTTATTTGCTTTGTTTTTGCCCAGGTCTTTTAGAAATGCTAATTGGATTTCACATGCATTGAGCACCACCCTTGGATGGAGGTCAGGCCCAGGTCAAAGTGTTTGAGAGAAGAAAACACAGATAAAATAACCGCCTCACCTGCATAAAGTTGGTAAAAACTTTTTGTCAATAGAGGAATTGCCCTTAAATCCAGGTCACTGTGGTGTGATATGTCGTAGTAGGAGCAATAAGAACAAGTTTTACTAACCTGCCACTTGAACTTCGCCAAGTGTTTGAATGTTTCCTGGTCCCACTTTCCTCGTCAGTAAACGAGAACATCAAACTGCATGGCCTCGGAACTGTTCCCGCTCCAACTTTCTAAGCCCATGCTGATAGCCTCCAGAGCCCTCACAAGCAATGTTGTCCTACATTCCACAACACAGCCTTGCTCTCCAGTTGTCCTGGCAGGCCAGTCTTGCCATACCAGTAACATCCTAAACTCCTAAGAGGGTGGCCTTTCAGGACTTAGAGGATCTGTAAATGAAATTCATTCATTGGTGGGGCCAAGTTTTCACTTTCAGAGTTAAATATTACATCCCTTCTTTCTCGCTCCATTTCTCATCAGTCTTCCAGATGATGAACTTCTTAAGTCGGGGTTACCAAAGCTAAGACTTTGTTGGGGTCACAAGAAACTGTCCCGGAAGGAGGAAATAGAGATAGTATCACAAGAAGGTCAAAAAGTAACGCTCCACGCTGTTGGGTGTTTGGTCAGGTTCTGACTGCACTTCTGGGTCTACTTGGAGGCAGCGTGATTGAGAGGAATGTGGCAACACTGGGCCAGGCCAGAGAACGGAACAAAAACGCCATCGGAAGGTTGGAGGGAGATAACCCACAGAGAAAAATAAAGCCCAACTATTGATAGAAAAACTACTTTTTTGTATTTTCTTGGGAATGTTTCAAATAGGCAAAAACTGTCACCTGGGAGAAATTAACAAGGTAACTTTAACCTTGCTTTTCATAGTTTAATAAGATCATAGTAATAAAGTGGTCTGCACACCCTGATTGGCCCATGGTTTTCCACTTTCTGGGAAGCCAGCAGAGATTTTTTTTTTAAGGGTAGGTTACTACACTGTCCTTCTCAGTGACCTTGGACATCTGCTCAGGAGGAGAGACTAAGATGCTTGGCAACAATACTATCCAAAGCTCTGCACCGGAGTCCTGCGTGCAGGAGTATGGGAGAGAAGCTAAGCATCTCAACCTTGACATTACAGAGGAGAATTTCTTAAGACTGGCCCATCATCCCACAGGGGGGATGTGAAGTCTGCAGAACTGTGCTGTCCAGGGGGTTGCTACCAGCCATGTGTCAGCACCAGAAATGTCATGAGTCTACTAGGCCACTGAGCACTTGAAATGCCACGAGTCCAAAGTGAGATGTGCAATAAATGCAAAAATACACACAGTTTTCAAAGACTTAGGAGGGTGAAGAAAGAAAAATGTTTCACTAATTTTTTAAAAATATTTTTTCATTGATTTCAGGGAGGAAGGGAGCGGGAGATAGAGATAGAAATATCAACGATGAGAGAGACCTTGATCGCCTGCTTCCTGCACACCCCACACTGGGGATTGAGCCCATAACCCAGGCATGTGCCCTGACCGGGAATCCATCTGAGACCTCCTGATTCATAGGTAGATGCTCAACCACTGAGCCACGCCAGCCAGGCTCTCGCTAATGTTTATAGTGATTATATACTGAAATGTTAATATATTTTGAACATACTTGGTTAAATATATTATTGACAGCCGTTTCTTTTTACTTTTTAAATTATGGTTAACTAGAAAATTAAAAAGTATCTGGCTTGCATTATATTCCTATTGGATAGCACTGCTCTAGGGGCTAAAATTAGCATCTAACACACATTCACCATCGACTCTATACCAGGCACTTTGCTAAGTGATTATACATGAACTGCCATGGCCATATAGTTAAGTATCCAATCTGGAGCACCATTGACACTTTTGATGGTGAAACGGGGCAGGCAAATTCTAAACCAGCCAAGATTCTAGACAGGAGGCATAAACTAGACCAGTTCTGGGCAAACTGAGATGTCAGGCCACCCTAATGGCAGGTTGTTTAATCCTTATTCAACCCAATATTATTATCCCCTTTCCACACATGAGGGAACTGGGCACAGGGAAATAAAGTAACCACTACGGAAGCATTGGGATTCAAACTAGGGCAGTCTGCAGTCCTGCCTCCTTAAGAGCTCATAAGGATTGAGGATTTGGTAGATGTAGTCTCTCTTATTCCTCACAGCAGCTTGTTTTTACAGGTGCTGAAACCGAGTTTCAAATAGACCCCCCAAATCATAGGACCAGAAAGAGTGAGGCCAAGAATCAAAGCTTGGGATGCCCAGCTCCAGCGTGATCTTCTTACCCAGCACCCTGTGCTGCCTTCAGGCCACCTCTGTTTCTAAACACTCTCATGTTGACCACAGTGCTCCCGCCACCTCTGGCGCAGGACTGGGTCAGAGAGGAGTAGAGCCCCAGTGTCGTTACCATGGGACAGGCAACAGACACGGACAGCTCCATCGTGGTAGCCACTCCATCTGCAAAAAGAACGTTCTCAGATCATCCGAATGGCCACTGTGCTGGCAGGTTGGTTGTTCTGCTATGCATGTCAGAAATTCCAGAAAATGTTCTCCCATTGAGTCGGGGCAGGAGGGCATGATGAGGGCCTCATGAACATCCAGAAGGGAGTTAGTTGTATCAAAAGGCTCAGAGAAGGGGCTTCCACAAAGCCCCACACTCAGAAGCAATAACTTGGCATGGAAATCCATGAGTGTGCCAGGTACAGCTTTTCTTTCATCCTCTGAGCGGGTCATGCTCTTGGCTACCCATTAAAGTCACCTGCCTTTAAAAATCACCACTTGGCCCGGCCGGTGTAGCTCAGTGGTTGAGCACTGACCCATGAACCAAGAGGTCACTGGTTCAATTCCCGGTCAGGGAACATGCCAGGCTTGCAGGCTCGATCCCCAGTAGGGGGTGACTCTCTCTCTCTCTCTCTCATCATTGATGTTTCTATCTCTCTCTCTCTCTCTCCCCACTCCCTTCCTCTCTGAAACCAATAAATACATGTTTGGTTTTTAAAACCACCACTTGCCTTGGCCCCATCCCCTAGAATACTGATTGAAGGGGCCTGGTGTGGGGGCCAAGATTGGCATGTTATACCCTCTCCCTAGATCTTGATGGCGTAGGACCATCCTTTATTGTCTGCCCCTGCTATGCCCGGAGCATCTGCTTCTGGATTTAGTAAAGTGAGGTTAGGTGACGAGGGTGGGGCACTGCTCCCAAAGGCCCTTGCAAAAGTCATTGCTCCAGAATGGTTTATTGCTAGAGTGACTCTAAAGCGAGCTGCTGCTTGTGTCAGCTGGTGCACTTGCTTTCTGTCAGGGCGTTTAACCTGAGCTCTGAGTCTTTTGTCTTCTTGGCTGAGATCAACTTCTGCCTGTGAGACACTGTCAGTCGTATTTTCCCCCTACCCGAGCAGTGCACCCATAATAAACCCATGTGCGACTGTTGCGGATGCGTTAGTTCGCATCTGTTATGGCTTCTTGCATATGTGTTTCAAAGGTTTTGTAGCCATTTAGCTTCTGTCATTCATTGTTGCTTTTCCATTTTTGTCGCTCTCTTTAAAGTCATCAGTAGGCCACCTGAAGTAGATTGCTGGTTCTTTTCAGAATTGGTCTTTCAACTCTGCTAGTGAACACATTTTTAAGAGACACTTTCCACAGCAGACTGTTAGTGCTTAAGATATATGACTGCACTGTGAAGATATTTAACAAAATTCCACAAGTCCTCTGTTTGTTTTGCCTTAACACAAATTCCTCAGCTCTCCAAGTATGCGCCTTAAGCAGGTTTCTCACATTCAGGACGGAGGTTCTTCTAAGGTAAAGTTGTGATTCCTCCACTGCCTTTGCTGTCAGACAGTCCTGTAATTGATCGTTCCCACTCCCTGAGTTTCAGAACAAGAAGATGAGGAGTGTGAGCACGTTGCTGACTGCCCGGTGACAAGCCAGAAGACAGGAGGACAGAATTGGAGGAGCCAGAACGATCCCTGCGGGAACAGTCCTTCCACAGAGCTGCGTGGACCAGGAGGCCACAGAGGCTGCAGAAGCAGGAAGAGAGGCCGAGGTGACTTCCTCTCGTGATTCCTAGAACCCTTAGAACACAGATGCCGAGAAGATGAACTGGCTTCACAGTAATAGACGGATAAAAGGGAGGGCGCGGGGTTCTGGTGTGAAGTATATCGAGGTCACTCTTGGCCAACCAGAGGGGAACTTGTCCTGTTGAATTATGTAACAGGGGAGTGAGTTGGGAGGCCCTTTGAGGAACCAGAAGACTCCGTTGGCACTGAGTTGGTCTGGGAGACTTGCCACCGAAAGACCCAGGGGCCAGGGCCAAAGGGAGGGGGATGGAGGTCTGAGTGGGTCTCATACTTGCTTTGTGGACTTCTGGGAAGTCTTTGAAAACATTTCAATTTAAACTGCATGCCTTAAAAGGACTCTCCATTTACATCCAACATCGCACACTCATATTAAGAAATATAAACGATGAGAACATCCGGTGTGTGCTTTCTCATGCTGATCCTCGCTCCCTGGCCACACGGCCTTCTGCTCCAGGTCTGGGCATTCTTACTTGCGTGCTCCGTTCAGAGGGGATGGGAAGTGACCCAAGTTTAGACGGGCATTTTGGAGAAAGTTTAGAATAGCAGGTGTAAGGCCAGTTCTGCGGAGGATCAGAAAAGCTGGTATCTGGGCAGGAGTCCTCCCAGCGTGGCCTAAAGGGGGCGCTTCTCCAGCCCAAAGCAGGTGTCGGCTACTGGGCAGCCATCATGATGGACTCTCTCTTATTTTCGCTTCCTTATTGAACGTGGTGTAAACATGAGAAATGAAAGAAAGAAGGGAAAAATGAAAGAAAGACAGAAGAAAAGACTTTGTCAGGTGGTGCGTTTGATTTCTCCACTTACTGCAATTCCGGGTAATCTCTCTTGGCCTCCGTTTCTTCATCTGCAAAATAGGACAAATATTAGTACCTGACTCTTGGGTTATTCTGGAGATTAAATAATTAATACATATGAAGCATGTACAATAATAGTGCCTGGCACAAAGTAAGAGGTAAATACATAATATTGGTGATTATTACTAATATGGAGAAGCATAAGAGATTCATAGAATCTGGGGAGAAATAGTGCTGTATACTGAAATCAAATCAACTGTTATTAAAAACGTCATAATTGCCCTGGCTTAGTTGGCTGGGCATCATCCAGTGCACCTAAAGGTTGCCTGTTTGATTCCCAGCCGGTTCGATGCCCAGGTTGCTCAATCCCCAGTAAGGAGTGGGCAAGAGGCAACCAGTCGATGTTTTGCTCTCATATCAATGTTTCCCTCTCTCTCTTTCTCTCTAAAAATCAATAAAAATATGTTTAAAATGTCATAAACTAGAGTTTAAACATTTCTAGGATACTATTTGCTAGGTCTTACATGGACACTTACCAACTAATATATAAGGTACGGCACTCAACACAGATAGACATAAGAAATGAGACGTTCTCAACCTGCAAAGAGCTTCCAAACTATTTGGGGACGCGGCCTGTAGACACACATGGACCAAGAGTCCCCAAAAGGACACAGCAAATGACCCCCCCTGTTGCTCTCTAGCTCTTTAGCACTGTTCTGCAGCTTTGCAAAGCCATATTGCAAGGCGTGCTTTGCTCTTGAAAATGGAAGGCATACTTTCCTGCAGAAATCTGGTGGAGCAGTGTGCTGTGGGAACCTAAATATAAGTAAATTCCTCCCCGCCCGCAGAGATTCCTATTCACATGTGCAGCCTGGGTTAGAATGACAACACCGGGCAGCTCCCGTGCCAGT